AAAAAAAAAAAAAAGAAAATATCAGACTATTAGATTGGACTGAAATACAGCTGTATTCTGCTTATAAGACAGACCTAAAGAAAAACGATGTGAAAAGATTTAAAAATGAAGAAATGAAAAAAGAGATGCTGGGAAAATATTAACCAAGAAAGCAGATGTCGAAATATTAATATCAGACAAAATATAATTTCAGAGAAAAAAGCATTAATAGGGATAAAGGGAGCACTCCTTTATAACTTGGGAACACTTCTTCCCACTCCTGATGTTTCCTGCTGGGTGGAGGGAACTCTTCTGTGTAACACCCCTGGCTCCACCCTCTCTGATAGGTGAATCTAGGAGCAAGAACTTGACATGTGAAGCTGTGTTCCTTCCCTTTCCCCTCCTGGAGCTAGCTGTCATCGGGGCTTCCCTCTGCTCTCCTGTACTGAAAGTCCCACCTGACAGACCCCACAAGAGGAGGCTTGCCCCTGCCCAGCACTGCCTGTGACTGGGTGGGCAATTCTGGGGTTTAGTTAAAAGATTTATTTCATTTTCAGGCTAAGCTATGCACTTTCTTTTGGCCATCATCTGTAAGAAAGGAGTTATTTTGACTTCCAACTCTTCATTTTTTGTTTGTTTCTGAATTTGTTCCTAAGCTGGGCAGGGAAAGATGCCCTTTACGGGACCCCTCAGAGGCCTCAGCCTACAGTGATGATAAAGAGAACAGTCATGACTGCCAGAAGATCTAGCAGTCATGAATTTGTGAACTTGTACTTAGTAACATAGTCTTGAATTTAAAAAGGCAAAAACTGATAGGAATATAAGGAATAGACAAACCTTGTATTATAATGGGAGATTTCAATAACATCTCTCATGTACCAATGGACCAAGCAGACAAAAGATTGTGAAAATATAGAAGATTTGACCAATACAATGAACAAATTTGATTTCGTAAACTACTTTTCTGAACTCAACAAAAGAAAAAAATATATTATTTTCAAACCCACATTGGACATTAAAAACAAAGTCCCTGTATTAAGTCAATAAATGTTAAATAATTCATATCATACAGACTATGTTCCTTGAATATAAGAAAATTAAATTAGAACTCAGCAATTATAATACTGAAGGAAAAAACCGCATACATTTGGAAAGTTAAAAGAAACCCTTTTAAATAACTCCTGGGCTAAAGGCGGAACTCACAAAAGAGCTGACAAAATATTTAGAACTAAATGACAATGAAAATACTACCTCTCGATGTGTGGGATGCAGTCAAATGATACTTAGAGAAAGATGTATAGTTTTAAATGCCTAGTAAGAAAGAAGAAAGATTAATTGTGTAGGCATGTGGGTCAGGAAGTTAGAAAAAGAATAATAGAAAAACCTCTAAGAAAATAGAAGGAAGGAAATGAAAAAGACAAGAACAAGTTAGTGAAGTAGAAAGCAAAAATAATAAAGAATAGAGACAATCAAAACCAAAAAGCTAACCTTTTGAAAAGATTACTAGATAAACCCCCAGCAAGGGCTGATTAAGGAAAACAGAAAAGACAGTATTACAGTGATGAAGGAAGGGACACAACTACAGATGGAGATGAAGTCCTAAGGCAGTGCCCCAAACAACTTTATATCAATGCATTTGATGGATAATTTTATAGAAAAACATAAGATACCAAAATTGCCTCACTAAGGGGTAGAAAACCTAAATGGTCACCATTAAAGAGCCGAATTGGTAGCCAAAGGTAATCTCTCCCAAAAAAACAGCAGGCCCAGGGGTTTCAAAGATGAGTTTTAGCAAACCTTGAAGGAACAGAAAATCCCTATGGTATACCAAACTATGTAGTTCAAAGCATGAGACGCGCCCCAGGAATTTTTTGAGGCTGGACTAATACCCTGATATCCAAACCTGACAAGGGAAGTATTTAAAAAAAAAAAAAGGCCAGTGTTGCTATTGAACATAGATGTGAAACTCTAAATAAAATATTAACAAATTACATTCAGCAGGATATGAAAAATGATACAGAAGCAAGTGGAGTTTTACCCATGGAATGAAAAGATGGCTCAACAGAAATGTAATCCACCAGGTTAACAGATTAAAAGCCATGATGATCTCAGCAGATGCAGAAAAGCATTCAGTAAAATTCAACACTTTCATAATGTGCTAAATGAATCGGGAACAGGCTAAATTCAGAGTCTTATGGTGAATCCCTATATAAAGCAACTTTCATCCCATTTATATTTTGAGTAAATCCAGGTTTTCAATTATTAGACGTTCTTTTCATAAAGATATAATTGCACGTGAGACTCCAGAAGCTGTGCCCAATTCTTTGGGAGAACACAAAAAACCCCACAAACAAAACAGGAAATATTGGTGAACTTGAAGGGGACAATTTGCTTTTCCCATATTATGGTTTTGGACAGCTTTACCAGGCAGGTTATTTTAATATAGACCTCCCATGAGGTACCTAAAAAGGATTTCATTTTCCCACCGTTTGAGTGTGGTGCCCAATGCATGAGTTGGTGAAATGAGGCAGATCTGCCCTGGGGAGACATGAAGCAAATGTCCCTGCTTTGTGGTCTGGCGTGAACTCAGCCACCTTCTTCAGTGACTCCATTTTTTTGTCACTTTTTTTTGCAGGTCCAAGGTGAAGACAGTGCATGAGCGGATCCCCTTGGCTGGACTGAGCAAGTTGCCCAGCATCCCTCAGATTGCAAAGGTAAAAACCAAGCCCTGAGAGAAGGTGACTTTCTCTTTTAGCCCAGGCTTGACCTGGGTGGGCTTTACCCTTGGGGAGGGGAAGCCGCTTTACCCTCTGTCGCTTGACTGCTTGGATGACCCTCTGTCTTCCCGACACCCTCCCAGCTTATCCTTGCTGCCGAGGCTAGTTGGTATTATCCATGGTCTCCGCCTCCAAGTTCACAGCTAGCCTAGGAGATAAGACATGGAAAGACAGGGCTGGATATGGAAAGTAGGACTTCAGAGGAGGAAGGGGAGGGGGTGGCCAGGGAGCCTTCCTGGCGGAGGAAAGTTGGGCGGAAGCACAGTCAGGCTGTTGGTCCAGATGGAGGAGCCCTTCAGGTAAGGAGCCATCAGCTAGCGGAGGGGCCTGTGTCCCTGCTGTGGGTACTGGGGACTTGGGAACTGAGCACAGTCGGGTGAGAAGGGTGGTCAGCCGGGTTGGGTTGGACCCTCACTCTGGGAGCAGCAATGCTGGGCAGAATTGTGCCCATTACCTGCAGTGGCCTCACTTCATCAGGAAACCCCGGGAAGGTTAGTTGTCTTCCCTGGCCACACGTAAGTGAGCAGCAGAGCCGGGATTCGGCCCCAGGCCCCCTGACCCTGCAGGTCAAGGCTTCCCATCCTCTTTCTATCGTGGGCAGAGGAGCCCAGCTGCTCCCTAGGACTTGGCCCCTGAACTGTGTGTTTCTCTCTCCCTTCTTAGGCCTTCTGTGATGACGCAGTGGGGCTGAAATTCAGCCCTGTCCTGTACCCCAAGGTGAGGACCTTCACCCCTCCTCTTACTTGGGGGCTCTGTAGCTTGCTTGGCATGGATTTGCACACCTGTGGCTCTGAGGGAAGTTCTCTGCTCTTGGTGGGGTTTTGTGGGGTCTCCATGATAAACCTCCGTGTCTCCCTTCTTCCTGCTCACCCCTTCACGAGCTGGTCCAATGGGAACCCATCCTCAGCCGTGCCTGGTCTCCTGGGTCTCTGGCCCACCTGAATTGGTCCCCAGCTGTGTGGAGGGGGCAGAGGTGTAGCAATGTAGCAGCTACTCTACCTCACTCTGGCCGTACCTCCCTGAGGCCAGTGCTGGGGTGGAGAGTGGTTCTACTTCTGTCTGTGGGGCTGGTGCAGATCTGGTCAGGCCCTCATGGAGGGTTGAGGGGGGCAGAAGGCAGAGAGCTCCACTAAAAAATAAAAGGCCAAACCTCATTACCAGTGTTACCTCAGCTCTGAGGCCTTACAAGCCCCCGCCCGGCCCTGGTTCTGTGTTATTAGTTTCGTTAGGATTGGCCTGATCTTGACCCCAGTTCTGACGTGGGCGTGGGGGTGGGGTGGGGAGAGGAGCAATAATAACAAAACAAACCAACAAACCCACTCAAGAACAATTACGGCATGACAAGACTTAAATCAGCCACGGACAGTGAATTGCTTCAGATTGGCCACAGGAAGAGACCCCGTGCATGAGCCAGCAGGGCCTAGAGGGAGACAATGGACGCAGGGCTGTGTTCCTGAGCTTGCACTTGGGCCAACCCTGTGGCAGCTGAGGCTTGCTGGGGTTGGTTCAGTCCATTCCCTGAGTCCCAATTCAGACAACCAGGGAACATGAGGTGCAGTGTTTGGCGGGGAAGAGAGGCCCTGTCCTGGCTGGGACATCCAGAACCCCCTGGAATACTCTGTTTATCCCTTTGCAGGGGCTGAGCTGATGGCAGGGTCCTTTCCTGCACAGAGAATGTGCCAGAGCCCTTGTTTTCTCGTGCACCTCTTCTCAGCTCTCTGAGCATCTGTAGGCACTTATCAGTAATATGCTGCACGCCACTGAACATTTTCTGTCATTCAGACTGCCCTCCCCTTTATAATTAAAGCTGAATTAGTGAGGTTTAACCAAACATTAAAACCCCATCATAAAGGCCTAACTTAACTACAAGTTTGGCAATTTTTGTTGTCAAATCATATCCACTGAGAGCACAGAATGATGCTCATTTGCATAGTTCTCTCTCTCACTTGGAAAGCCTCCTGCTCTGGTAATAATGAAGGAGCAGCTGTATTTTCATGTTTTCTATATTTGAAGGACTGCCTAGTCCAGCTGGGATGTTAATCTGGCTGAGATGTGTGTGTGTGTGTTTTTAAAATCCACAGAGTTTAGAACGTTCCTTGGAAGGTCTCCACGGCTGGGCGCCTCTTCTCTGGTGGGGCAGCTGCTCTGCTCCTTTGACTCATCCCAGGCAGGAGTGGGAGGCTCCCTCCAGGGTCAGCCAGCAGTGCTGTTCCAGCGGGAGCTGGGAAGTGTCCATTTCCTCAGGCAGCTGAGAGGTGTAATGGGTGGCTACCTGACACGGGCCACGTAGTCTGGCCGACAAGTCGTCATGCCTGGTTTGTTCTTTTGGTAGGATAACATGAGGTCAAATCCTCCCTTTTTATTACAGACAGTACTCCTATAGTTCCCAAGTCTTTTCCTCTTTCCTAATAAGCTGGTTCCTCTGAGCTTTTGGGGGGTTACATAGATGATGATGATGATGATGATAGCTGCTCTGTGTTCAGCACTAAGTGCCTGATCTCATTGAATCTTTACAACCACACATCTCCACTTAATAAATGAGGAAACTGAGGCCCAGAGAAGTTAAATGGTTCACTTGAAGCTACACAGGTAAAAGCAGCAGATTCAAAATTAGAGTTTAGTGTTTCTGACCCCAGACACCAACTCTCTGAAGTGCAATAGAAAATTAGATAGAAACAGTGGGTAGGTTTTTTTTCTTTTTCTTTGCATGTTGTATTACGGTATGTCCCTCCTTACCGTGGTCTCCTTTTAGACCTCTCATTTATGGATAAGGGGAAGTAAAGTCTGGACAGGAACTTTAAAGCCACATTGTTGCTTTAAAGTTGTTGCTGTTAAAGCCACATTGTTGATTACAGGTGGAGTTAGAGCTAGTGTCATTCTCACTTATCCGTTCTGGGGTCCTGGCTTCACTGTTTACACCACAGATGAAACAGTGAGGTGAAGTCAGTTTCCTCAGTCCTGCTGCACTCGCTGTGTGTCCAAGCCTTGGCCAGCACATCTGGATGGGAATGGAATGGGTGAGCCAGAGGTGTGCTCACTGTTGGGGAACACCCTGGTATTCAGAACTAGCTAAGACCTTTGGAGCTGCATCTTGACCATCTACCTCTGACTTTACCCTTTCTCCTTTTCCACATGTGTGGGTGTCTTATGTCAGGGGGCACATTCTTCACCCAAATGGGTGCTTCCCCTTCCATTTGCTTCCTCACTGGCCTCCAAGTTAATGCCCAATATGACTTTTTCTTCCTACATCCTCCAGGCCTCCCAAATGATTGTGTCCTATGATGAGCACGATGTCAAGAATACCTTCAAATTTGGGGTCATTTATCAGAAAGCCAGGCAGGTAAGCACCACGAATATATACTGGTCACTATATCCTGTGGTTTCTCACCAGGGACTCTTTTTTTCCCTCCCTTAAGCATAGGAGCCCTGCACTAGACTCTTCAATATTCTGAACGCAATGGTCACATTTCAAATATGCGTTAGCCTGGAGGTAGCAGAATCTTCAAAGTAGGCCACTCCTCACACAAAGAAAGGCCTACAAAACCTTTGAATGGTAATGCAGTTTTCCATACAGTAAATTCTAATTCTTCCTGGCTACCTCAGTTTATGTTTATCTATGGGCTGTCGGCTCGAGAGAAATCAGACTATCAGACCAGGTAGAGGGAATGGATTAGCGCAAGCTGCTCTCTCCTTGCCCACCCTCCTCCCAGCTGGGAATAGCTTTTTCGACCTAGACTTCACTAGTGTGCTCGAGCCAATTGTGTGCATCTCTTCCCAAAATCTGTGTTCAGCAACTTCATGATTCTATCTTGAAATCAGCCAGGGTAGAAGTATTTACACCATGGAAATCGGTAAACACCAGGGCTGATTGTTAAAAAATGTACCAGCCTCACCCTCCTCGGTCTCTGATGCTGCTTTGGTGTTAGTTGGCCAAAACAAGTTTCTCAAAGCATGTTCCATGAGACACCAGTCTAGTGAGGTACTCTGTGAACAAATGACTTGTTCAGTTGTGTAGGGATGTTTTAAAGGCTCTAAGAACCCCCAAGTAAAGAACTCTGTCACTTTGTTGAACTCAGCGTTTCCCATACTTATTTGACCACCAACTTCCCATCTTTCCTACCATGAATACTTATTAATATCCTGAGAAGTGGCCTGCTGAACACACTAATTAATGTTCCCTAGGTTTTATGAAAAAAGGTTCCACACCCATTTCATCTTTGTATCATCTAAGATCCTAGCATGATGACTCTATATAAATACACTCATAATTTTTTGTTATGTGAATTAATGAATGAATAAAAAATTTGGCTCTGTTAATGGTAGGTCGATAGCTTTCAGTATTAGCTGTTTTTTTTTTTTTTTTTTGGCGTGATGTTGTCTTTCTTGGCTAGATGATAGCTGACTTCCTTGTCTGAAGATATTAGACCACAAGAGACATGTGATCACTTAAAACACTCTAATTAAGTGACGAGTTGAGGAGCTGAAAGATCAACACAGATAAATCTTATAATTTAAGGGAGATTATTCAGGTAGCCGCTCTGATTATTTTCACATATTGCATTTTTATTTTGTACAACTCTGCTAATATAACCCGCCTAATTAAAGTTCTTTGCTTGTGAAATTTACCAAAGCAGATTTCATAAGGTGATTACCATCCAATGTTCCAGCAAAGTTATAATTACCGAACATTAGCCATCCACCTCTGAGAAGGAGTCTCTCTGTTCTTTATGTACCTGATGCTGCTGGGGCAGGTGGGGGCGTGCAGGGAGATAAAAGTCTTTTTTTTTTTTTTAAAAAACTAGGCAGATTGTTGGCAAACCTACAGCCAGAGGACATTTAATATGAACATTTGTTGCATGAAATCCCTATGCTGGTTTTAGGATATAAATAAGCCCCATCTAACTCTTTTTTTTTTTTTTTAAGCTGAACCATCCTGCCACCTGTTGGCAGCTCAGCAGCTGCTCAGCTCAGGCCTGGAATCGAACTGCTGTAGCTCAGAGCTCAAACTCTTGAGCGAGCTCTTAACCAACTGAGCCACTCTCGGCCGGCCCCTAACTCTCTTTTTAAGATGGCTAAATGTTGACTATTTTCTAATTGGATTATTTTTACTGTTAAATTAAAAAAATTTTTTTTAAACTTTATTGGGGAACAATGTGTTTTTTCAGGGAATAGTATGTTTTTTCCAGGACCCATCAGCTCCAAGTCAAGTTGTTGTCCCTCAATCTTAGTTGTGAAGGACGCATCTTAGCTCCAAGTCCAGTCGCTGTTTTCAATCTAGTTGCGGGGGGTGCAGCCCACCATCCTATGTGGGAGTCGAACCAGCAGCCTTGTTGTTAAGAGCACTCACTCTAACCAGCTGTGCCATCCAGCTGCCCACTGGCAGCTCAGCTGCAGCTCAGCTCGGGCGCAGCTCACTGGCCCATGTAGGAATCAAACTGGCAACCCTGTTGCTCAGAGCACGCGCTGTAACCAACTGAGCCACCTGGTCACCCCTAAAATTTTTTATAATAGCTTTACTGAGGTATAACACACATACCATACAATTTACAATGGTATGTGAATTATGTCTCAATAAAGTGTACAATTCAGTAGTTTGTCGTATATTCACATAGTTGTGCAACTATCACCACTATCTAACTCCAGAACATTTTCGTCAACCTCAAAAGAAACTATCTCCATTAGCAGTTACTCCCCATCACCACTCTCTCTAGCTCCTGTGAACCACAAATTTACTTTCTGTTTCTATGATTTAGCTTGCTCTGGGCATTTAACATGAATGAATCATAAATATGTGGGCTTTTATGTGTAGTGTCTTTCATAAAGTATAATATTTTCAAGGTTCATCCATATAGTAGCATGTGTCAGTACTTCATTCCTTTTTGTGGCTGAATGATATTCCATTGTATGGATACGCCACATTTTGTTTATCCATTTGTCAGTTCATAGACATTTTGGTTGTTTCCACTTTTGGGCTATTATAAAGAATGTTGCTATTAACATTCATGCATAAGGTTTTATGTAGACTTATGTTTTTATTACTCTTGGGTATATTCTTAGGTGCGGAATTGCTGGGTCATATGGTGACTCTGTGCTTGGCCTTTTGAGGAACTGCCAGAATGTTTTCCAAAGTGATAGCACCATTTTATATTCCTACCGGCAGTGTTTGTGGGTTCTGATTTTTCCACATTCTCACCAACACTTGTCTTTTTGATTTTAGCCATCCAGTGGGTGTGAAGTGGTATCTCATTGTAGTTTTGGTTACTATTGAATTTTAAAAGTTCTTTATATAGTCTAGTTACTAGTCCTTTGTCAGAAGTCCATCTATTAATTTTTCACTCATGGATTGTGTTTTTGGTATCAAGTCTTAAGAACTCTTTGCTGCAGCTTTGCGTTTTGTACTAATCAGCAGCCTTAGTTCAAAGAGAACGTCCTCATTAACCAGCTCCCCAAATCCAGCTCTGTTGAGTGAGCCTCAGTCCTCCCTCTAATTGAGGACAGAGTCACTGGATGGTGAATGTGGTGGGGGCTAGGAAGAAAGGGACCAGGTATCTGGACAACCACATTCCTTCCTTTGCACCAGAAAGACTTTTTCTAACTCCTACCTTGATCCTGTTTCACTTCCAGACCCAGGAGGAGGAGCTGTTTGGGAACAATGAGGAAAGTCCAGCTTTCAAGGAGTTCTTGGACCAGCTGGGAGACACGATCACGCTGCAGGACTTCAAAGGGTGGGTTTTAGCCAAGTGAAGGCTCCGGCCCCATAGATGAGGCCCTGGAGGAAGGGCAAGGGGTGACAGCTGAGTTTCAGGGAAGGCATGTGAGAGGTAAACACACACAAGACACATGGGATTGTTTTTCAGCAAATGGTCAACACTCATTCCTAAGGAAACGGTGGTCCAGGGGTCAATCCATTCTGGCAGATTATCTGAAATCATTGACATCTGGCCTTAGGATGCATGATGAAACTGCTGCACCTCAGATTTGCCTTCCTAATTACATTTGGCTCAGACTGAGAGTGAAATGAATCCACCTTCCCTAACACCCACCTGCCAGGCATTCAGGAAAGAGGGCCCTTTGCAGTTTGGGAGGAAATGACCCATTTTAGATAATGCACAAAAAGAAAGGATAATTAAGAGTTGGTGGAAATACAGTAACTTGCCTGGCGGGAATCTATGCAATAGTCTTATGTTTCTTTAATTTACCCTTAAGAAAGGATATCAAGCTACTGCTTGGAAAACTCTGGCCCTTGATTTTCCTTGGCAAAGACAACATTTGGGAAGGGCCTTCAGACCTGGCCAGCCTGTTCTATGCTTTGTGGCTGGTACACTGCTGAGCCCTCAAATTAATAGGATCTCCCAGTGTATGAAAGCACCTAGCTCCATGCCTAGCAGGTAGTAGGTGTTCGGTAATCACTTTCTTCCTCTGCTTCCGTCTTTCCTCTTCTTTCTTCTCCCTTTTTCCTCCTCTTCCTCCATCTTTCTCCCCTTCAAGGTCATCACTGCTGTCTGCAGTCAATCATAGATGGGTTACAAGCCCACCTCCACCACTTACTGGCTCTATAACTTTGGACAAATGACCTAACCTCTGCGAGCCTCAGTTTCCTTATCTGTAAAAAGGGAGATATAGTACTGACCCCAGAGGTTGTTGGGGGATTAAAATGGATAATGCATGTGAAGTGCTTAAGCTAGTGCTGTGTACGGAGTAAACACTGGTAGTCATTATCGTTATTATTGTTACACTACCTTCCACCGACTCTCAGATGCCATCTTTATAAGATGCATCCTGATTTCAGAGATGTTAAAATATGAAAAAATGTGTCTTAGAATAGGTGAAATAAAGTATATTAAAACCAGGAAGGACCCAAGAGAGCATGTCATCCTGTCCCTTTATTTTATAGAGAAAAGAAACTGAGGCCTAGTGAGATTAAGGGATACGTTCAAGGTCACGTGCTGACTTTGGGGCAGAAGCAGGTCTAGAACCTGGAGAACCTGACTCCTGGCCCCGCATGCTTTTTGCTCTGCCAGGCTGAGCACATTTTCTGGCTCGTATTACAGTGCTTGGGGGGGGGACTGACATCCTGGGTCTATTTTATTTCATTTTCTTAAAGGAACTTGCATTCTCTTTCCATGGCTAGTGGCCCTGTTTCCATAAAGGAAGAAGGGGCAACTCTTAAAAGCCCACCCAGTTCCTTAGTACTGTTCTTTCCTGTCTGTGAGGAGATAGCCGGAGAAGGGACCTCCTTGGACACAGCTGGGTGCTGCTGTGGTTAGGTCTCTCATCAGGGACTGACTGAGTAGAAATCAAGCATCTGTCACCGCTTCAGGCTGACTCTAGATCAGTGGTTCTCAACCTGTGGGTCGTGACCCCTTTGGAGGTTGAATGACCCTTTCACAGGGGTCACTGGGTACTCGTATGTGGGCGTATCTGCATGTGGGCCTGAGACGGATAGAGGAGCGGTGTCTCGGTTCCTAAGACCATCGAAAATATGTGTTTTCCGATGTTCTTAGGCAACCCTTGTGAAAGGTTGAGAACCGCTGCTCTAGATGCTCCCGTGGGGCTCACCACTATCCAGCCCAGTGGCAAGGTGCCCTGGCTCTGGGCTGAGGACTTGGACATGGCCTTGCAGAGAACAAAGGCTTATGCCCAGCCGTGGGGACCACTGGTACCCAGGGTGGCATTTGTCTGTGATTTGATTGTGGGTGGATGACCTCCCTTTCCACATGACCTGTGGTGTGGAGGGGACACAGCCAAGGCTTGAAATGGGGGTTCTGCCTTTGTCTTTTAAATATGGGTTTATGGTTAGAATGCCAGGGCTTGTCTACTCAGAAGAGGAGCTTTGCCTGCTTTCCTTGCATCTCAGGCTCTCAGCCTTCAACTCTCCATGCACCAAGTTGCCCACTAACCCTCATTTTCTTTCTCTCTCTGGCACTGGCCCTGTTTTTTTATGACAGTTTCCGAGGAGGCCTGGATGTGACCCATGGACAGACTGGGGTGGAATCAGTGTACACGGAATTCCGGGACAGGGAGATCATGTTTCATGTCTCCACAAAGCTGCCGTTTACCGAGGGCGACGCCCAACAGGTAACCTGGGTCAGGAGTGCTGTGGGAGCCCGGGGCGTGTGAGGTGAAAGTCTGCTTCTGGTCTGATCTACCTGAGGGACTGTGGCCCCCCCACCCTATTTTCATAATCAAGAGGCCAGTCTGTTTAGCTGTGTTCTTCTCGTCAAAGCCTATTCTATCGCGTTATCTCGCCAAGGTCGCACGTCAGAAGCCCAGTGCGGGAGGCAGTACAGGGCTGGTGGTTATCCTGCTTGGACGGATGGGGAAACTGCAGCTCAGTGTGGTTAAAAGGCTGTTTACCAGCTGATTAGGGGCAGACCTGGGAGCAGAGCCTGGGTGCCCTGATCAGGGAGAGTGGAGGTGAAGAGTACATGATGGGGTCTGCAGATGGCAGCTTGAAGCCAGCTCTGCACTTAAGAAGGGGTATATGATTCTGGGCAAGCTGGTCAGCCTTGTGGCCTCATTTTTCTCATCTGTAAAATGGGCATAACGTCACGTATGTCAGAGGGCTGTTGTGGGAATCCGACTGTGGTTCATATGGTTCCGAATGTAGGGCTCAGTACGATGCCTTGCTTGTGGCAGGCTTCCTTTCTAACAGCTGTTCACTGTCCAGGCCACTAGGCGTTTACCTTCCCTCCTGCCACAGCGATGTAAAACTGGTTATTGCATGAGACAGCCCCCACCTCCCAGCTTTTCTAGCTTCACAGCCTCATCTCTCATCACACCTGCCTGCGGGCAGGAATTCAGCCTCTGCCTCACCCAGGGAACCCTGGATGAGCCCTCCACTCCTAGGGTTTTCCTGCTCGCCCTCTCATTTGCTACATCTGACAGTGGCTTGTCCCCAGGGAGGGAGGGCCTGGCTTTTTTCTCTTTGAGCCTTGAAGCCAGCAGCTGATTCCTGACTGTTGCATCATTTGCCCCCTGCCACCCTTTATGGCCCTTTCAGTCTCTAGGAAAATAAGAAGTGAAGGTAGGCCTTTTCCCAGACTCTGACCCATCCGCTTCTGAGCAGGGAGCCAGGGAGGGAGCACGGATGTAATATTGTAAACATAGTGCCTGGCTGCTTTGGAAAAAAGGAAATTGGCAAACGAGACTGTGATTTGGCTCTAAAATAACTACTGAATGTTCCAGAAACAAATGGGAGCAGGATTCCTACAAAGTAGGTTTTCTCTCAGCGCTTTATGTTCAGTCTCTGTCCCTGCATGTCCCCCCTCATCTCCTATCCAGCCCGAGGCTGAGGGCTCTGCTCTGCCTGGCTCTCTTTTAGTCTCACCTGTGTTACGTGGGGAGTATGCAGAGCTTGGTTCTCGGCAAGGACTGAGTAAATATTAATTTTCTCTTCCCAAGAAATGGGATGATGTGTGTGGAATAAGTGAGGTAATTTATGTAAAAGTGCCCAGCATAGGGCTCCGTATAGAGCAGGTGCTCAATAAATGAGAAACTCAAAGTGAACTATAGGACCTGTATGCAGTAGGTGCTTAATAAAGGAACACATGCATAGGTAAGCACCTAGGCAGGACTTGGTGTACAGGAGGGCCTTACATTTGCAATCATGCATGTGAACAGCCCAGCATGGTTCCTGACACACAGTAGGTGCTTGGTAATTGAGATCACCTGTGAAAGCACCCGGCACAGTTTGGGATACTGAAATGGGGTTGGATTTCTCTCTCCCCCATGACCTCCACCAAACCAGGTTGCCCGTGTTTCTCTAAGCATGGCTCTTCTCCCCCTTGGTATAGAATTATCTGCCCCCTCATCCCTGCTCATCCACATGTCCATCAAGTCTCCTCCCCCCATCTCTTCTTCCAGGAAGCCTTCTCAGATTACCATCAGGCCTCTAACTTTGCCCTCTTCTCTGCCCCTGTGGAATCAGGCATTTGTGTGCAGGAACTGATTTAGCACTTGCTGGCTGGTGGCTTTGTTTGTGTTCTCAGGTGGCTTCATCTGTGTTTGTGTCTCTCCTGGATCATGTATAGACTCTACCAGGGCAAAACCCAGCCCTCACCTTTTAACTCTTTTCCCCGAGTCCCAAGTCAGAGCTCTGCACGCTGTAGAGCTCAATAAGATACTTGCTAACCTCTACCTAACAACTTGGGCATCTTCCTATTTTTTTATTTTATTCCTTTTTGATGGCTTCTAAAGATTGAAAGAAAAAGCTCCCTGGAGAGCTAGGTCTCAGAGTTGCAGGGTTTATGTATAAAGATAGAATAATGTGGAATTTCCTGTGTAGATCGATTCTGCTTTCAGGATGTTCCTAACTGGCTTATGTCAATGGACCACTTTTTCTTTAGCTCCAGAGAAAGAGACACATTGGGAATGACATTGTGGCCATCATCTTCCAAGAAGAAAACACACCATTTGTCCCAGACATGATTGCCTCCAACTTTTTACATGCCTACATTGTGGTGCAGGCCGAGAGCCCGGGCACAGAGACGACATCCTACAAGGTAAGCAGAAAGTCTCAGTGGAGGAAGTGCCAGTCCAGGTACCTCGCCACACTTTATGGATTCAGTGATATCAAGAAACACCAGTTCTCAATGGCTCCTCCAACCATTCTCCAAAATGGCACTCCTAGCTTTGGTGTGATCGATTTTCCATGGTTCTCAGGTTTCTGGGATTTGAGAGCTCAACTCTTGGTGGAGAGCACCTTCTGAGGTCATCTCATCCATCTGGCTTCCTCCAGGCTCGGTGACATCTAGCTCAAGGGTTGAGAAGCCCAGGTGCCCCTCTTTGGAATCTGGTAATGCCATTCTCTAGAGCAGTGGTTCTCAACCTGTGGGTCGCGACACCTTTGGAGGTCGAACGACCCTTTCACAGGGGTCGCCTAAGACCATTGGAAAACAAAAAGACATTTACATTACGATTCATAACAGTAGCAAAATTACAGTTATAGAGTAGCAACAAAACTAATTTTATGGTTGGGGGTCACCACAACATGAGGAACTGTATTAAGGGGTCGCGGCATTAGGGAGGTTGAGAACTGCTGCTCTAGAGTAAGGCAGAGCCAGAGGAAAGAAAGAAAGAGAAACTGGAGAGGACTGTCAGGAAGAGAACAAAGGACAGAAAGAAAAATAAGTGCTTATGGTGAGAAAGGTCGAGAGGAGGGGCCTGGTAGACCCTGGGCACTGGGTAGGCCCTCTGGTTTAGCTCTTCTGGAATAAATGATCGATCTTAATTTGAAGATTCTCAGGGCTTGTGAGTCTCCCTGGGTCTCAGCCTCCTGACCAATTAGTGACCCAAAACCCTCATGAATGCAGATGAACCCATCGTCCTCAGCAGCCCTTACCCCTTACCCTGTTTGCTCCTGATGCCTGTATCACTAACCCTCTCACCTACTCTTAATAAGAAACAATCCCAACCTCTTGGGCAACAGTTTCTCTATTTCACAGTGGTGCTGGGGGGCCTGGGACCCAAGGGAGATAGACTGAGGCAGGGTTTTGAAGGTGGATGTTAGATAGCCTTTGAACCCCCTGCGGATATGTGCAAAATGTTGAATTTATGTGTTCCTTTGCATTTTCTGGGGAGAGAGGCCATAGCTCAGGCTCTCAGAGGGCTGCCTGTTCCCCAAAATGTTAGGAACCTCTGTTATAGGGAGAAGGGAAAAGAGCTTGTCCTCGATAATAACCCTGAGGCCTGAAAATGTTTCCTACATAATAACTTAGGCCAATGCTGGTTCCTGAGGTTCACAAAGCCATAGTTTTTCATGGCGATCTTCATGAAGGAGCAATTTTGCTTGAAGATTTGGGGAATGATGTTACATAATTGTTATGTCAGTACAAAACCAGATATATTATTCATATCTGCAAATTTCATGTCAACTTTAAATCCAAATATGAGATTTAAAAACCCCACAAAACTCACAAAAGCCACACCTCTCTCCTGTTGAGGAGAGCTGATTCCTTTCCATGCCCATGTGCATGCTCCTCTGTCATTGTGCAGTTTGAGCTGAAAAGTTGAAGAAGCCATGGTTTGGTCATTTCCTGGAGGACTATGGGATCAGCTGCTTTTTTTTTTTTTTTAAAGTTTTTTATTGGGGAATTGGGGGATGGGAACAGTGCTGGGGAATTGGAGGAGGAGAACAGACCAGTTGCTGTCCTTTTGTTCTTCAGTCTAGTTGTGGAGGACGTTGCTTCACTGGCCCAAGTTGGCACCATCATTGCGCTCTTCCCGGGCGAGGCAGATCAGTCGCCGGCTTCTGGACGGCCGCTCACTGCGGCTGCTGGCCGCTCACACTGGCTGCTGGCTACACACGGTAGCCCATGGCAACCCACTGCCACAGGGGCTGCAGCCTATGCCGTCGCCGGCGACTCACGGCAGCCCAGCTCCAGGTTGAGCTGTTGTTCAGCATCTTAGCTGTAGAGGGCAGTGTCACTGGCCCTCATATGTGGGATCCGAACCAGGGCCCTCTGGCGTCCCAAGCCAGTTCTTAACCATCGCGCCACTTGGCCAGCCCGGGATCAGCTGCTTTGACCGACATGGGCATTCCCTTCAAACAGCTGCTGGATTTGTTGGTGGAAGCAAGTTTTATTCATTCAGTGCATGTTGTGTGCTAGGGGTGGGGCACGTGGAAGTGACATATAGAATTAGCATTCAGGGAAGGGACAGAAGAGCCACTGGGCCACTCCAGCAGCCAACCGGTTCTTTTTAACAGCCGGTAGAGGCAGACAGCTACTGACCAGGATCCCCAAAGTAAAGCTGTGTGATAGGAGGGTCTCCCAGACCCGGCCAGGCAGTTACATGTGTACGTGTGGCTTGTCTGCTGGGCCTCTGCTGGCAAAATGGGGCCTCTCGTGGACGTTTAGTATTTGCTTTTAGTTTCTGATAGGAAATGGAGCTTAACTAACTGGCTTCTCCACTTTCCCAAGAGCTTAATGGAATGGGACAACAGAGAAAAATGAGAGGTCCGGAAAAACCCACCCTATCAACAGCTTTGATGCTAGAAGTCTTTACCCGTCTTCCCAGCCACAGTCTGTGGTCCAGGGAAAATCAGTGTCCTCAGAGAGGGGTGAGAAGCAGAGATGTAGGGACCCACAGGAAGAGCCAGGCTGTCCCTGGGATGTGGGACTTTGTGTTCCACCTGCCAGGAAAACATCGAGGTTGCCAGGCAAGACCTGTGATTGGGGGCAGGGGAGGGAGACCAGACTTCCAAGGTGCTCCCCAAAGCTCTGTCCATCACAGCCCCAGCAGCACCCCTGGTGATGAGCAGATTGAGGAGGACCTGGTTAGGTCCCTCAGGGGGTCCATGGTGGAATGAGAGCTTAGCTGACCTTTGCAGGTTTAAGGGCTAATGGCAAAAGAGAGTGAGGTTTCCCCAGGGGCTCAGCAGTGCCCCAGGAAGCCCCCACTGGAGAGGACGAACAGCAGGAAAGAAGAGGGGTGGGGGTGGGAGGACGGGGAAGGAATGTGCAGGAAGGGGCCCCAGACTGAGAGGCCCCAGACAGGAGCCTGGGGT